CGGATTATTCTCGATAGGCGTAATGTAGCGCGGAATCCCGGTCTACGTTCGGTTGTAAAGTTGTGTCTGAATTCCTTCTTCGGGAAAAATTCGGTCAACGTTCTACTTGGTAATCTACCGAATACAGAGATTGTTAGAACGCGAGAACATTTATTATCTTTGTTCACGAGTCCCGAGCATGAAATAATAAATATTTTGCCTGTAAACGACGACGTGATCTACGTCACTTGGCAGCTGCGACAAGAGGCGCTCGTACCTTCTTCGATGACAAATATAGTAATAGCGGCTTATACGACGGCGCAGGCACGACTAAAATTGTACGAATACTTAGAAAAATTAGACCGCCGTGTATTATATTATGACACCGATTCCTGTATATATGTGAGCACCGGTGACCCCAATGAGTACGAACTGCGTACGGGTAAGTTTTTGGGGGATATGTCGGATGAGCTTGAGAACTATGGTCAAGGCAATTACATAGAGAGCTTTATATCCGGAGGCCCAAAATTTTACTCCTACGTTGTGCGTACCCGGCAAGGTAGCACTCACGAAGTTTGTAAAGTAAAGGGGATAACTCTAAACTTTGAAAATTCGAGATATATTAACTTTAGCAGTATAAAAAATTTATTAATAGCCATAAACAAAATCACTAATGTGTCAAAGTGGTTTGTTTACCATATGTCTAAGCTTGGTTCATGACGTTTTGGTTATGTCACAATCGACCAGCACTTACTACTGGAGCCATCTCTTGAAAAACAGCGGGAACTTAGTTGCGCACCTAATATTTGCGAGTGCGCCTTCAACACACTCAAAGATAACGTACCGCTCGGCAGAAGGGAAAAAAGTCGTCTATCACGTTACAAAGCAACGGTACGTCATATCGCTAATAACCGTACCGATTGGAAAAGTGATAGTGCAGCGTGGATTTCTACCTTATCTGATTGGTCCTATACTCGCAGCTATATTATCCAAAATTATCGATAATTAAGACTGTTCGCACTTGAACCATGGAAAGAGCCAAGAAGATGGTACTGATTTCTGCGGATAATCTTGAGAGATTGCAGCAGCAGGCTCATACATCACCGACCTCGGTGTCGTCGTCATCATTGGCGTCTTCCTCGACTGCGATTCCCTTTGTTTTGACAGATAATCCCACAACTGGGTTGAACATAGCATCGGTAGAGAATGAAAATACGGTGCATACTCCGGGTTCCGTCCTGTCGCGTCTCGACGCAGAGATGCATAGAATTCTCAACTCTCCGGCTCTCGGAGGAGCACGGGAAAAATGGAGATTGTATAGAGAGGTGCTTCAGTGATATCTGTACTTTTTTCGAGAGCGAGAAAAACGCCGATTACGCGGAAAAAAGAAGAGAAACCCGATGCTGGTGGTGCGGTCGACGATGATGAAAACGCTGGGGAAGGGGAAAGTACCCCTCGCGATGACGAATACGCTGACGGAAACGCGGTAGAAGAAGACGCAGGTATAGATGCAAATGAAGATATTCCCAATATAGAGACCGAAGTACATCGAACGTTGAACGTTTCTCAACACTCACGAGCCGATACACGTAGTCGTCACCACCGCACCAACGAACAGAAAAGTAACGGAAGAATACTGAATAAAGTGCCAAAGAGTTACCGAGCTAAAGCGCGCAAGCTGTTGGCACATTTGTGTGATGTGGCGGTGCCCGGACGATTAAGCTGGGACAGACAAGGAGTCATGACAATAGATGATAGAATTTTGAGAGGATCGAATATCATTGACTTCTTAAACGACACGGTTCGTGAACGAAAAACCAGCAGAGCAGTAGCGAGAGTACAGTTTGCACGCCTTTTGCGTGAAGTGGGTACTCCTCCGGAATTTGTAAGAAATCGAGAATTACTGGAAGAAGTCATGGACGAAAATGATCTTCCCGTGAGATTGAGAGAAACTCTTCCGAGAGGTAGCAGCACTCCGCTTCCATCACCTAACGAGCAGCTTTGGTATAAACGTAAGATTGCCCAGACGTCGTTTGAGGAAAAAGATCACGAGGATGGACGGGCTTTATTTGTAACAATCAATGAGAATAGAAATAAAACGCGAATGAGCGGAGACACTTCTAAACCAACGAGTAAAAGACGCGTGATAGATTGGAACCCATTAGAATTGAGTATAGCTTCTTCGCCGACTAACAGCTATGCACATCGACTTCCACCAACGAAAGGACGAACGTGCAAACGTACTATCAGAGACACGTCTCTCGCTGAAGAACGCGACACAGAGCGTGTACACGCGACATTTATAACTTCCGATCAATATAGGCGTAAAACACGAGTGATCGACAACGCTACTAAATCAGCGGGTAAAAGACGTTTGATCAATTGGAACACATTGGAATGACTGACCTCGTAAAATTCTACTACGATCCTGCACACTATGCGGGATACTCTACGATAAAAAATCTTTCGCGAGCAGCAGGACCTGGCTCCACGCGTGAAGAGATTATTCGTTGGCTTCAGGCGCAGGATGCATACACACTTCATCGACCGGCACGGCATAAATTTCCACGTTTGCATTACAACGTCACGAATATCGACGATCTGTGGGAGGCTGATTTGGTTGAACTCCCTAATCTCCGAAATTACAATGAGGGCTATTGTTACTTGTTGACAATCATCGATGTGCTTAGCATATTTGTCTGGGTAGAACCAATACGAAGTAAGACTTCGGACAATGTGACGGAAGCTTTTCGTCGCGTGCTCTCAAGAAGCAGAGGGCGAGTATCGGTGTAGTTGCAGAGTGACAAGGGTAAAGAATTCATCGGGCAAACATTTCAAAAATTTCTGAAGGAAAAGAACATAAGTTTTCGCACGATACGAAATCCTGATGTCAAAGCAGCGGTGATCGAACGCTTCAACAGAACGCTCAAAGAACGTTTATAGCGCTATTTTACACACAAAAATACATATCGCTACATAGATGTTTTGCAAGGTATCGTGCATGCTTACAATCACACTCGACATTCAACCATTAAAATGGAACCGGCAAGCGTCACGTTGGAAAATGCACGCATTGCTCGTGAACATATGCAACATGTGCGTATCAGTAGAGCGAAAGGAGTCTTTGAGAAAGGATATGAGACGAACTGGACGGAAGAAATATTTCGTATTCACCGTATTCTCGAATGGCGAAATCCCCGTGTGTACGAATTGAATGATCTGTCAGGTGAAGTGATCGATGGGATATTTTACGAGCAAGAACTAGCCGGGGTAAACAAAAACTTACAAGAAGAAGAATTTATCGTGGATAAGGTGATACGACGCCGAGGACGAGGAGCTAATAAAGAATTTTTCGTCAGTTGGTGGGGTTACCCGTCTAAATTCAATTCCTGGATAGCTGCTTCGAATATAAAGCTGCTTCCAAACCATGGTGGAGTAAAACCAATTTCTCATGATACTACCGAGCAATAGTAGCATGCGACATCATCCCGAAAATACAACTACTTCATTTATTACGGAATTGCCTCAAGAAGTGAAGTTGACTGGCTTATGGGAAGTTGCGCTTACCGAAATTCAATTCCCCTTTAGTTTTTTACACATATGCCCCGAGGAAGATACAGAATTCGTATTCATTTCATTGCCGCGTGAAAATATTAATACCAAATACGCCAAATCAGTCATCATAAAAGGCGTCGACCATCTACCCAAATTCGGGCTTACCCGCATAACCTCCGGTGTTTACACCACGGTGAACGAACTGTTAGAGTCTTTAAACAACGCTAGCTCATTACTCAAAACGCACATTGCCTGGCGCCTCATTAGGGTGGTAAAGTAATGGTATACTGCACATGTGATATTAAAGAATGCAATAGTCTTCATTTCGTGAAGTTTTTCGACAAAGTGGCTCGTATGCTCGGCTTCGATATGTATAGACCGAACGAAGAATTCATTCATCTCGACTTGCCGAAAATTATACAGGGGCGTATAGCGTACCATCCCAATATTGATCGTAATGCGAATCCTCAGAAAGTTAGAAAAGAAAGGTTTTACTCTTTTATCACGTTGAAACGTGAACTTATATCCGACGAACCAGCTAGTACGGTGCGGGGTGTACCCGATAAACTCTTTATTTATTGCGATATTTGTGAGTCCTATATAACGGGAGACGTGTATTCTCTTCCTCTCCGTGTAGTCCCCGTCGAATACAACGGTGGCAAATATGCCTACGGTCGTAACATGGTGAAGCATTTTTCACCGTCGAATTATATTCCATTACGATTAACATGTTTCCGCACGATCGAAATAGATATAAGAGATCAGGTTGGCGAAAGAATACCATTTGAACTTGGGACGTTGACAGTTACATTACAATTTAGACGTCGTGATTAGCACGATATGACACATTATTTAGAGTATTACGAAACGCAATCCGGGGGAAGTCGCAGCGGTGGAATTCCACGAGTTTTTGTAGGATCGCAGTATCAGCGCGGCCATAGTATCGGTAGTTTTCTCGGTGGTCTGTTCAGGCGTGCGTTACCTTATCTGGCCAGTGGTGCGCGTGTCGTTGGAAAAGAAGCTCTATGCGCAGGGATTAATGTACTCGATGATGTGGAGAATAACACGCCGTTGAAAGCAGCTGTTAAAACATGCGTCAAGGAATCAAGCTCAAATCTCAAAAGAAGAGCGGAAGAACACATTAACAAACTGATGGAGGGGTCTGGATATAAAATTCCTGGAACATCGGAAAAGCTCAGTTTCCTTTTGTCACGCTAAGCGGATACAACGGCAAATCATCTGCACCCAAACGTCTAGTCAACGCTTCTAAATCAAGTAAGAGAAAAGCGATTCGAAGAAACATACAGGGGAAAAAACGGGGTAAGAAGCTAGCGAAGAAGCCGGCGAAGAAGCATTCAGTGAAGAAAAGCGGGAGAGGCCTTGCTAAACGTCGGGGAGTTATCAAGAAGCGTACCGTGTCAGACATTTTTTCCTAAACATCAACAAGAGACGCGTGCTTTCGAAGCATGTCCTTTCTTCATACCAGTGAATGTTTAAAGAGTGAACTCGACCTATTCACCCTGCCGCCTACACAAACCAGCATTGAGAGTTCACAATGGATTCACTACAAACCTGTGTCTTCTCTCACGGACGACGCGCCCATCGAATTCGTCGTACCCGGGCATGGAGAAGAATACATAGATCTTGCTCACACCATGCTGTCGCTGCGCATGCGAGTAGAAACGGAAACTGTAGCAGGAGCCGCCGGCGCAAAAGTAGGCCCAATAAACCATATACTGCATTCGATGTTCAATCAAATCGACGTATATTTCAACCAAAAGCTCGTATCTCCTCTAAACAATGCTTACGCTTACCGCGCTTACATAGAGGCGTTATTAAATTATGCTTCACCAATAAAAACCTCCCACCTGGCTTCGTGCCTGTGGTACAACGATACGGCGGGGAACATGGACGCTCTACCGGGAGCGACACCATGCAATCACGGACTCGACAAGCGAGCCGCTTTTGTACAAGGAGGACGAACACTGGATCTCATCATCTGGTCATCATCTTCACTGCGACGTCTTCAATCAAGATAAATTCTTGATCAACGGTGTCGAAGTGCGCATGAGGCTTGTTCGTTCGAAAGATTCCTTCTGTCTTATGGAAGGAAATACTGTCACGGATAAGCGTTTTAGATGCTACACCACTCATCAGAAGATCTAGAATAAATCCAGGCGTATTACTCGCTCATACAAAAATGTTGACCAGGACTACTGCTAAATACCCTCTCACGAGAGTCGAAGTTAAATCATTCACGATTCATAGTGGCGTCGTAGGAGAAACACTGGACAACGTCATTCTTGGACAAATACCGAAGCGTATAATTGTCGGTTTTGTCGATAACAAAGCATTTAACGATGCCCGCCATTTAAACCCGTTCAATTTCCAGCATTATGGAATAAATTTCTTTTCACTGTATGTCGATGGAACTCAAATCCCTAGCAGACCGTTACAGCCAAAATTCTCTGGTAACGAGATGCTCTACGCCGAGGTGTATCACACCCTTTTCTCGGGAACGGGTATTCACTTTTTGAATGAAACTAATTCTATATCCAGAGAAGATTATCCTGCTGGTTATACTCTTTTCGCCTTCGATCTCACTCCTGATCTATCGGCTAATTGCGCAGCTCAATGGAACTTTGTGAAACATGGTAGTTTGCGAATAGAAGTACGATTCGAAAAAGCTCTCACAACAACGATCAACTGCTTAGTTTACGCTGAATTTGAAAGCGTGCTGGAAATAGATTCTTCTCGTCAAGTCATTGTAGATTATAGCGGTTAAAACGACTCCCCCACTTTTCTTTTCGACATCATTCTCCTTTCAATATAAAGATTTTCAACATCATAGCCCTCCTGAGTAAAAGTTTTGAGAAAAGAGTCCAGTCACTTTCGAGGCGCGAAAAGTATAGTTTCGGGGGGAAGCAGAATTGCGTATACAGAGGGAGCATGGATGTTATTATCGAAGTACAATATTTCCGCGATAGCAATGATGTCTACGTGCTCAAGGAGGTGGCTATTATCGGTATTAATGAGTCATTCGTCGGTCATTGGATCTTAGCTCCAGATTATTCATTTGCTGAATTGAATGAAAAATAAAGGCGTATAAATAACTGGCTTTCGCGGAATTATCATGTTATCGAGTGGTACGACGGGGAGAGCAATCCGAAATATTTTTATCCGCGGTTGCGTGAAATTACGAGTCATATTCGTGACTTCATGACAAAGGGTGAGGAAAAAGCGAGCTACTTGTAAAATTTACTAGCCCGAAACGTATATAATCTGGAGAATATTTCGCTGATGTCTAGTGATCTTTCATCCAGCGAGCGTGTAGAAGCTTGCTCATTCCACACATTTAGAAAACACGGTCGTTATCACTGTGCATTACGCAACGCATACAAATTGAAACACTGGTACATCGAACAAAGCCAAATCAACATCGTGGCAACAAACGTGACAACGTCTATGCGACTCAGTGCTTGTCCTCCAAAATTGACGAGGAAGAGAGTGAAAATAGCTATTCCTACAAATCGGGAAGTGAAGAGCCATCGACTGAAGAAGAGGAAAACGAAACAAATACCGAGTTGGAACATTCAGTCGAACCGTCGAGGACTATAACAATCACGTTGCCAGAGGTAAAACGAAATTATATAAAATGAATTCGCTCGAAATTCAACATGCTCTGCAACATCTCAACGCCAGATACACAGGCGTCTATCCAGCCGACAGACTACCGAGGGTGTGGACGAGATCGACGGTAATAGTCGCTAATACGGACAATCACAACCGTCCAGGACAGCACTGGGTCGCATTCTACATCGATCAGAATGCAGCAGCCACGTACTTTGACAGCTACGGGATGCTGCCCTGGGACTCATGATTTCTCCTGCGTCTTAGAAGAAATTCCGCCACTTACCGATGGAATACCTCTCAGTTACAGGGTCTCTTATCGACGACTTGTGGCCATTATTGTTGTGTTTTTCTTTACTTTATGTGCAGGGGTTATAACCTCAATGCCTTTAAAAATTTGTTTACCAATGATTGCGAACGAAACGATCAACTAATTGTACGAATGTGTAAAAAAATGTTTTGTCAATGTAACCGTAAATCACTAGATCATCATATCCCTATATACCAGGTTCAATCCTGTATTAGAAAAATGTATAAGAATAAAATGTGAATTTATTCTATAAAAACTTGGTATATTCCTTTCTTTCCGCCTCTTTTCTCTTCCCTGTGATCTCCAATTCGCGGTAACAAGGCCTGTTGTAAACTTTTCGAGTTCGAAAGCGAAGGGACACACACACACACACAGGTAAAAATATTGAGGTAGACATAGACCGGAGGTATCATCTTCTAACAATCGCTGAGTAGTTTTAATCTTCGAAATTATCCTTAGCTGCTCGAACATGTGCACGCACGCTCGCACGCCTCAAGAGCTGGAGCTTCAGAGCCATGAGTCCGTAGGGCTTAGAATTTTCGAAATTTTCCATGCGTGACATCAATAGTCTACGTATGTATACAATATATCTAGTTTTCATCAGAATATAGCAATAGCGTAGCGTATAAGACGCTTGACTCAAAAGCCAACGGACTCTTCGAATCCGAGCAGGACCTCTACAGGATTTTTCCAGAGAACACACATGTGGAGATGACCACGCACACACACATACACACACACGCACACACATCTCATCCCGTTATACGACTACGTCGTAAAGGCTGTTTCTATCAGAGAGCAGCAGTAGTACGGTGGTAAGACGGTTTGACTCGAGAGCCAGAGGTCCCCCGGTTCGAATCCAACAGAGGGCTTTACAGCGTTTTTCTCGTAACTTGTGACGTCGATACTTTACATATGTAGACGATATAGCTAGTTTCCATTAGGGTATAGCGGTAGCGCGGTGGTAAGGGACGGTTTGACTTCGAGAGCCAGAGGTCCCCGGTTCGAATCCAACAGAGGGCCTTTTACACGGTTTTTAAAATTTTGTGACGTCGATACTTTCCATATGTAAACGATATAGCTAGTTTCCATCAGGGTATAGCGGTAGTGTAGTGGTAAGACGCGTGACTCAAGAGCCAAAGGTCCCAGGTTCGAATCCAGCAAGGCCTACAGAGTTTTCCAAAACCCGTGACGTCAATACTTTCCGTATGTAGGTTTATATAACTAGTTTCCATCAGGGTATAGCAGTAGCGTAGTGGTAAGACGCGTGACTCCAAGAGCCAGAGGTTCCAGGTTCGAATCCAGCAGAGCTCCACAGAGTTTTTCCGCAAATGCAATATGCAAATTAAGTAGCTGACCAAAAGAGCCAGAATTGGCCAACTAATAATGTCTAATAATGTCTAATAATGTCGGCCATAATTTGCTTATTTCAAAAGTCGATTAGTTTTTGCCTGTGGGGAGGTATGGCCCGTCAAAATATTCCCTCTCCACTCGACCCGCCGGCGCCGGTAGGCGTGGTTTAGTGGCGCCGGCGGGTCGAGTGGAGAGGGAATGTTTTGACGGGCCATACCTTCCCACATACTACTGGCATTGATGCGCTTGTATCACATTGGGGGAAGTGTATTGAGGTGGAGGGAGACTATTTCGATTGACGAGATGTATATAAAGTGTGTCGAATAAAAATTTAAATTAAATATTAAAAAATGGCCATTTCATCTGCAACAACCTAATACAAGAATTACTGGATGGTGGTATTGTACTACACTCACATTCGCTGTATAATACTCCTATCTGATAGTGCCTAAAAAAGAGGATTCAGAAGGCAATAAGCGATGGCGTATGATGTTGGATTTTCGCATGCTTAACGAGAAAACTATCGGAGACGCATACCCATTACCGAATATAATTGACATCCTTGATCAACTTGGCGGTGCATTTTTCGGTATTTGACTTAGCTTCGGGATTTCACCAAATAGAAATGGATCCACGTGATAGTCATAAGACGGCTTTCACTACGCCATTCGGACATTACGAATTTACGCGTATGCCCTTCGGATTAAAAAACGCTCCCGCTACATTTCAACGATTAATGGATATAGTTTGAGCTGGAATTCAAGGACGAGAAGTATTTGTTTATCTGGATGATATCGTGCTATAAGCATTTTCTTTAATAGAACATGAATTCAAATTTAAAAAACTTATGCAAAAGCTTAAAGAAGCTAACTTAAAATTACAGATAGATAAATGTCGCTTTTTATGCAAGGAAGTCAATTATTTGGGACATACAATTAGTAGCGGAGGTGTTAAATCGGATCAAAGAAAATGAGAAGCCGTACGCGAATTTCCAATGACTAAAACACCTAAGAATATAAAACAGTTTTTGGGATTATCTGGATATTACAGGAGATTTATACCAGAATTTTCTAAATTAGCTCGTCCTCTAACGCAATTATTAAAACTAGAAGTGTCTTTCAAATGGAATGATGCGCAACAATAATCATTTGAAATATTAAAAAATGAACTATGTAAAGAACCGGTGCTGCAATATCCAGATTTCTCACAACCATTTATTTTAACCACCGATGCTTCGGGCTTCGCAATAGGAGGAATATTATCACAAGGAAAAATTAACGCAGATCGACCAATAGCTTACGCATCTCGTACCCTGAGCGATTACGAAATAAAATATGACATTTATGAAAAAGAAGCCTTAGCAATTATGTATTGTGTCAAACATTTTAGACCATATTTGTACGGGAGGAAATTCACACTTGTAACAGACCATAAACCATTGATGTGGTTTAAAAATGCTCAGGATACGAAAATGCGAATACTTCGATGGAGACTAGAATTAGCCGAATACGATTACGAAATAGTTAGAAATAAAACCGGAAAAACAAATGTAAACGCAGACGCTTTATCGAGAAACCCAGTAGACTCACCTCTAATGGACTGCAAAGTGATTAACACTAGAAGTAGAGTTAACCCGAATAATCCACAAGATGCTGAAGCCATCGGACGCCTTTTAGAAAAGGATGATAATCTTGAAGAATCAGACGAGGACGATGTTAATATGACGTACTTATCAGAGGACCACGT